CATCGGTGAGAAGCCGGCTACGAAACCCAGTAGCCACAGGACAACAGTGAACTAAACTGAGGATGAAATCTGGAGCAACACTTTGCAGCTGACCGAAACATAATAAAAGCCGTGGCTACACGTCCGGTCATATGTTTCTTATGTGAATCCAACTATATTTTTTTCAGTAAAAAACAATAAACAATAAGTTTTTACCATAATATTGCTTACCTTTAGGTATTTTATCAAAAATATGTGTTTTTGTAACTTTCAAAGCAATAGTAAATCCAGTAAAATCAACGATTTGAAAGGGGGCGTGGCCTAATCGTGACGTGGATTTGGGAATCTGTGCTGAGCATTGTAATGGATGACCGGACGCGTAGCCACTGCGAATAATAAATGTCGTCTGCACATTCCGCGCGGCCGTTCCAATTCTGTAGTTCAAATGCAGCTCACCTCGCCGCCCTCAGAGGGCGCCACGTCTGAATAGCGGCTCTCGCATACGACCTGTCCGATGAACTGCAGGGGAGCCTGAGGAATGTTGGGAAACGACGCTTCGCAATCCTTGGCAAAGTATCTGCAGGTAAACGAGAGTAAGACATGTGCATCATCCCACATACCTGCACATTCTGGAGTACACAGTGGCGCATGCACATGTAACTATGTATGTATAATCAAGAGCTAATAATAAGAAGTAAAGATGAATGATTATCAGTGGATTGACATGACATCCCAATTTTCGTTTTGGGTTTCACTCTAGACTGAGGATTGGTCATGATTCCATCATCACACCCCAAGAGGCATGATGGAGAGCCCTCAAGGAGCTCTCCATCATCCTTTTTAAGGGTGTGATTTTTAGTGGAGCTCTCCATCATGCCTCTTAAGGGTGTGATTTTTTAGTGGAGCTCTCCATCATGCCTCTTAAGGGTGTGATTTTTTAGTGGAGCTCTCCATCATGCCTCTTAAGGGTGTGATTATGGAGCGTGAAAAGTCCCCCTATGGTGTCCCAGGGGAGTCATTAGTAGTCCTCCTGTACTTTTCAAATCTGAAAGCCTGCCTGTACATCGTGGAGTAAGGCACCCAATGACGCATGTATATCAAGAGTCCATAATAGAAAATTATTATTCTATCTATATGTCCATTCTATTCCATACATGTAACTATCTATGTGTTTATTATAATATTATAATACTGCATATACCTGTACATCCTGGAGTAAGGCACCCAATGATGCATGTACATGTAACTATGTATGTATTATAATACTTGAGTAACGAATGTTACCGAGTAAATGTGGTTAGTTTCCTGAGTAGCATGGAGACAAACAAAGGTCAAAGGTCAGACAATATATATAGAGAGAGAAGAGCTGAACAGAAAACATCACCTATACCACGACATAATCAGCAGGAACGCAGGAAGCCCTAACCCTACACACTTGTTACAGACAGCAGTCCATCAGTGTCTCACAGCCTACATTGCCTCACAGTCTCATTGTCTCAGAGTATACTGTCTCATAGCGAACATGTCTCACAGAGCATAGTGTCCCATAGTACAATTGTCTCACAGAGTATAGTGTCTCATAGTGTAATTGTCTCAGTGCATAGTGTCTCATAGTGTAATTGTCTCACAGAGTATAGTGTCTCATAGTGTAATTGTCTCACAGAGTATAGTGTCTCATAGTGTAATTGTCTCAGTGCATAGTGTCTCATAGGGTAATTGTCTCAGTGCATAGTGTCTCATAGGGTAATTGTCTCACAGAGCATAGTGTCTCATAGTGTAATTGTCTCACAGAGTACGTATATATATACACCAGCTCCCAGTGAACATGGTTTGGCCTGTAGTATTATCATCAAAAAAGCACACCCGTGTTAATCATGGAGGAAGCATTAGTATACTCTGTGTAGATCATACTCTGTGTGTATGGATGTATGCAACGTACACCATCGCTCCGTATGCTTTATTCGCTCGCCCGCGTTGCCGTGACGATTCACCACTCACCCTCGGCTCATAGCGGATGATGATGTCATACTCCATCGAGGTATGTAGACCGGCGACAAAGAATTCTAGCACACCGCCCTCCTGCACCTTCATGAAGCCGGGGCCGGTCCACGTGGGTTCCCTGTCAGGATACGGCTCTCTGTATTCCACCACGGTCAGCTGAGAAAGGAAATGTCATCAATAATGTGCAATTATGTATATATTTATTAATTATTTATTTTATGTAATTATGCAATAATGTAATTAATAATTATGGTTTATTATAGGTAATCAATATACAACTGTATATATATATACTTATATACTTATATATCCCCCTCCCAATCCTCCTCCTCTTCCTCCTCCTCCACCTCTTCCTTCTCACCTTACTCTTCACCCTTCCCCAGTTTTACTACTTACGTCATTGCCTCTCGCGTCCTCGGCCTCGAATGTGAAGTAGTCGAGATAGACACAGAAGTAGTTGGGGTCGGGTTCGTTGCACTGGCGGCCTCCCATGTGATTCTTGCACGAACACTGGCCCGTTGCAATGTCACAGTTGTTGTCGTAAGCGCCACCTAGGTCACAGTTGCAGGCCTTGCAGCCTTCGGGGTCCTCACTCAGTCCATAATGCTCAGGCTGCGTAGAAACAAGAGTGCAAATGAGACGAGAAGTTATTGTGCTTTATTTATGGCAAAATGGCCGATTGCTATCACAGTTAGGTGACCACACATATTACCACAGTTAAGTGACCACACAGATTACCATAGCTCACTGTATACGCTGTATATTTCGGCGTGTCTTTTTTTTTAATGCGTCCCGACCGCGAAAATAACAACACGTGAATAATTCATCACGAATAACACCGAATAATTCGTAATTCACCGACCGCGAAATTGTACATCAAGTCTGAATTCGCGAAAATATATGTACGTGAAAAATATGGCATATACAGTACTCCCCAGAGGGGAATTCTCCCTCCCCCCCTCCCTGAGACTTGACCATCGTCCAACCCACACACTCACCAGGCACTCGTTGCAGTCCCGTCCCGCCACCTTGCGCTTGCAGATGCACTCTCCCGTGTACTTGTCGCAGCCCGTGTTGCCGACCGTGCCTAAGATGTTGCATGTGCACTCTGCAACAATCAAGCAACAATCAAGCAACAATCAAGCAACAATCAAGCAACAATCAAGCAACAGCACGTTAAGCCAGGCTTTGCTGTCTGAGAAAACTGCAGGGCCTAAAAAAAGGCCCCGCCATTTACTCGACGGGGCTGATTTTCTCTAGACAGGGCTGATTTTCTCTAGACGGGGCAGATTTTTTTTAAACTGATGAATTATGTAATAAAAGCTTTGTTACATTCATATGTATTATTACTATGCTTAATTATTCCCTACTATTTGGTGTATATGAATTTATAACAACCGATGTTCTTTCTCGATTCGACGGGACCGGAAAAAAAGCGCTGTCGCGTCGACACCAGAGACAGGGCTGTTTACAGGGGCTTGGGCCGATCGGCCCCATGAAAAGGCAAAGCCTGGTTAAGCGCTGACACACCCCCCGGGTTCCTAGTACGGGCCACAACCTTGTTTCACACATCACCAGTCTTACAGCTATACTTTGCGTTACATCTGACAATCAGGTAATTGCAATATTTCCTGTTACATCTCATCTCGTGTAAAATGCCTCGCTTCAGTTTTGTGCAAAATAATATCGCACGTTCGACTAAAAATGAGCAGCAAAATGCACGCATGCGCACAACCACACAGGAACAAGTACGCCTACGCGCGATCGGAGAGGTTGCATGAATAGAGGCAAACGTAGCAGTTCCAGTCAGTGACCGACGCGCGACCGGTTGCCGCAGCGACGCGTTCGTTTACCTTGGCAACCGTCTGGGTCGCTCGGGTCCATGTTCCAGTATCCGTCGAGGCAGCTGTCGCAGCGTTGCCCGCCGACGTACGTCTTGCAGTGGCAGCGGCCGGCCTGAAGGTCGTAGTCAGGGTCGTCGCTGGGGTCACACTCTCCATCGTTCAGCGAGCCGATCGGGTCGCAGTTACACGCTGCCGAGACAATGCGCGAGAATCAGTGACACGTACACACACCGGCGATGACATAACTGCTGACACGTACACACGTATGTGACGTGCGTGAAACAGTGACACGTACACACGTATGTGACGTGCGTGAAACAGTGACACGTACACACATATGTGACCGTATATGAAACAGTGACACGTACACACACACGTGACGTGTGTGAAACGGTGACACGTACACACACCAGCGGTGACATAACTGCTGACACGTGCACACACGCTTTAGTGACTCACATGCGTGCAAACCAGTGCCGTCACCAACCCGTGACACATTCACACAAAACAATGACACGCATGCGGGATTCGTACTGGACCAAGGCATATACCATAATATTATTAACATCACACATGGTAATGTTCTACTACTGTTTTATTCAGATGCCTTAAAGGTGTCATCACCTGGTAGTAGCAATAACCAACACTGACAACACCATAAGAAATGTCTCCGCCAATTACTACCAGAAAAAAAACATCACTACATCACTGAGCGACTGAAACTGAAATCTTCGCTCGGGAAGCCATCGCTGTCGCTAGGGCGAGCTCCGCACTTGCGGACGCGCGTCGTTGCCGCGGCAACCACCTACTTACGTTCGCAGCTGTACGGGTCGTTCATGTCCTTGTCCGGCACATGGTAGAAGAACGGCTTGCACTGCTCGCAGTGGCGTCCCATCGTGTTGTGTCTGCAGTCGTCGCAGACACCGCCACTCGTGTAGCCGGACTCCTCGTACACCGCTGGGTCAAAGTGACACTTCGCCGCATGGTCGTAGCACTGGCAGCCTGAAAACGATGCGTTGCCATAGATGTACGTGAATGCCAAAGTTTCCGAACATTTGTGTGGCGACTACAAGGACCAGTTAATGTCGTATCTGTACATATAATAAAATAAAAAATACTAATATAATAATAATAAACTAATAACATATAATTAGTTTCTATATATAGTTCGTCATGTGACCTATTAACTATTATAAGAATCTGCTTTCACTTAAGCAGTGTAAACTTCAAAGCTGCCCCGAGACTTGTGCAGTGCAAACACTCTCTCACATGTACTGAGACACATGCTCTCCCTCACACACGCACGCACGCACGCTCGCACACGCACACACACACGCACACGCACACACACGCACGCACACACACACGCACACGCACACACACGCTCTCTCACACACAAACACACACGCTCTCTCACACACACATGCTCTCTCTCTCTCTCTCTCTCACACACACACACACACGCACACACGCACACACGCACACACGCACACATGCACACACGCACACACGCGCACACACACACACACACACACACTGAGTCAGCTTCTCCCTCTCGCTCTTGAGACTCACGCTTGCAGGCGTTGGGGTTGCGTTCGCGAGCGGGCGCCCACGGCCGGTCGTTGTACAGGTTCTCACACAGCTCACAGTTGAGGCCCTGCGTGTTGTGAGCACACTCGCACCTGCCGTACACCTGTCGTGGGGGCCACAGACGCGAAAGCATAAATACATACAATATAAACATCGGGGTTAAAATTTGAATATCTTAGACTGCATTTGAGAACATTTTCACAACGGCGATGTCAAATTCGACAACGGCGCTGCGCCACCGTGCCTCTTATGTATAAGAAACCCTGGTACGTACCACGCTGGCGCCAACACAAAGTCGGTAGTGCGAACCCAGCTTAAGACAAGTGAACAATATGGCCTCGCAATGACAGCAGACGAGTGGTGGATGGCGGACGTACGTACGTACGTTGGCGATGTTAAACTCGACAACGGCGGTGCGCCACTGTGCCTCTTTATGTATAAGAACCCCTGAAAACCCTAGCAGTTCCACGCTCTCCCACCCCAACAGTACAGTCCTATTGTCGGTGTTAATACGGAATCTGGTTTGCCCTGTTTATCCCGATTCATTCATTGCAACCATCGCCACCCACGTTTAACCCATGTCGCGCATCGAATAAAATATGAACGGTAACGCAGGGTCAACGTCGTGATTTGGGAAAACGTACCACGCTGGCGCGCTCCACGCGACGGCCGTCTGGACCCTCTAGCGCAGGCAGGCGGCTCGCGTGGCCGTAGCAGCTGCAGCTGCCGCGCACGAGGTGACGACGTGCGTAGATCGCGTAGTATACATCTCCTTGATCTGCCTCGCGCTGGCGAGGAAGGTTGTCGCCGAGCGGGTGCAGCCGGTGAAGTTGAATGCGAAGGTTCGTCACTTTGAGAAGTGTCAATGCACCTGGCGGGGCTGTATCGGGTCCGTCCGGGCTGATGCGACGGCGCAGAGCGATGTAGATCACCTGAAAGGCACAGACACACTGATCACCTGTACATGGTGAGTGGGGCGGGCACGGTGAGGGGCGGGGGCCGTGAGGGGGCTGCGGGCCGCGAGGGGGCAGGAGGTCGTGAGGTGGGGGGCAGTGAGGGAGCGGCAGTGACGGGCGGGGCAGTGAGGGGCGGAGCCCAGTGAGGTGGGGCCGTGGGGGGCAGTGAGAGGGTGGGCAGTGAAAAGGGGCGTGAGAGGGCGGGCCAGTGAGGGGCTTAGTACGGGTCGTCCGGCTGATCGACGCGGCAGAGCGATGTAGATCCACCTGAAACAGCAGACACACTGATGACACCTTGTACTATGGGACAACAGTGAGGGGGCAGGGCAGTGAAGGGGGCGGGGGGACGTGAGGGCAAAGGCAGTGAGGGCGGGCAGTGAGAGGGTTGGGAGAGTGAGGGGGTGGGCAGATGAGGGGGCGGGATGAGGGGGTGGGCAGTGAGCGAGGCGGCAGTGAGGGAGCGGGGGCCAGTGAGAGGGCGGGCAGTGAGGGGGTGGGCAGAAGGAGTGGGCAGTGAGGGGGTGGCCGTGAGGGGGGCAGTGAGGGGTGGCAGTGAGGGGGCGGGCAGTGAGGGCGGTGGGCAGTGAAGGAGTGGGCAGTGAGGGGTGTGGGGGCCGTGAGGTGAGGGTCAGTTGGCTGGGAATGCGGGGTGGGTGGGCTAGCTGGGAAGGGCGGCAGCGAGGGGGAGGTGCTTATGGTGAGCCGGAATTGTGGGTTATTTTTTTAGGTCGGTTTGTAGGGGCGTGATGCAGATGAGCGGTGCTGTTGAGTGGTTGCTGCGTGAGCTAGTGAGTTGTGGGTTGGGCATGGTGAGTGGGACGGGACTTCGGGGTGCGCTGAATCCGAAGTGATCGGGGCAGTCTGCAATGTAGATCACCTAAAACACACACACACACACAGGGGGAGGGGGAACAGGTCGGTGAGATGAGGTGACCTGGCCCTTACCGAAACGCGCAGTAGCCATACAGGGACAGTACATGTGAAGCTAAACTGGCAGGATTGAATATACTGGAGGGGCGAACTACTTAGCCAGCGGGGCTGACCGAAAAAAGAATAAAGGGGCCTGGGGCTAGCACGATCCGGTCATATGTTCTATGTGAATCCAACTATATTTTTTTCAAGTAAAAACAATAAAACAATATAGTTGTTTACCATAAATTGCTTACTCTTTTAAGTATTAGCAAAATTGTGTTTTGTAAGCTTTCAATAGCGAATAGCAAATCCAGGTAAACCGATTCAACGATTTGAAAAGGTGGGGTCAAGGTGTTGCCTATGATCAGTAGACGTGGATTTGGGAATCTGCATGAGCATTCGTACATGGATGAACCGGGATAGCGGTCTGTGAGTGTGATGGGTAGCCACTGCGCGAAAATAAATGTCGTCTGCACATTTCGCCGGCGAGGCCGTTCCAAATCTGTAGTTCAATATGCAGCTCAACTCGGCCGTTTGGGGTGAGCCTTGTAGCCTGCCTGGCAGACGGGTTGTCGGCGGGACTTTGGGGTGATGGTCTGAAATAGCGCTCTCGCATGTACCGGACTCTGTTCGATGAAAACAAGGTGTTTGAGTTTTTCAGACTGGCAGGGAGCCTGAGAAATGTTTGGAGAAAATTCGAGCGCTTTGCGGCAAAATCCTTGGGAGAAGGTATTCTGCGAGGGTAAGACCAGAAGGTGGTATGATTGACATTGCGTCATCATTCCTCACACATACTGCAATGCTTAGTGCGGATGAGTTAACAGCAGGCGTCATGACACATGTAAACTATGTATAATGCTATTATGATCTTTATATAGGGGCTAATAAGAAAGACGTAAAAGAGAAATGATATCAGTGGATGACAGTTATATGACATCATCCAAGATTGTTCGTTTATGAGTTTCACTCAGTGATAGTGACTGAAGGATGTGTGATAGCGGATTTTTGATTTTCCATACATGCATCAAGTGCCATTTTTCCAAGATGTTGATGAATGGTAGGTATCATCTCAATGAGCACATCCATCATCTCTTTTTAAGGGTGTGATTTTTAGTGGAGGCTCTCCATGGCATGTGGACCGTCTTAAGGGTGTTAAGATAGTTTTTGTATAGGGATGACTGCGGTGCGTTGCATCATGCCTCTTAAAGGTGGTGGTGATTATTGGGAGGAGATATGATCCCCTTGCTATATGCGTGTTCCGTTTAAGGAAGTGCGATTAGTTTAGTCGCTCCTATACTCTATTCAAAAATCTTGTAAAAAGCCATGCTCTTGTACATCTGGGATGAATAAGGCACCCGCAATTGATGACATGTATAATCACAGAGTCCATAATAGAAAATTATTATCTACAATGTCCATGTCTATTCGCATAGCATGTAACCTATCTAGTGTTTAAGTATAATCATAATAATACTGCATACCAGTTGTTGGGTATTTTTGGTTATTTTTATTTGCTATGCTGGCTGATACTATTCTCTAGGAGTTAAGGCATGCCTTTCAATGATGCAGTCGTACATATGGTAACTGAGATGTAGTATTATAATACTTATTTGTTTTGATATTTACATGTACACATGTTCTGTGGAAAGTATATGATAACATACCCAATTACATTTTGTGACAGTGTAACGTATGTAATGTATTTATGAATAATTATAGGTCATGCTTTGCAGGTATTATCTAAGTAAATTCTCTAGGAAGTAAGGTCACTGAGCCAATATTGCATGTACATGTAACTATGTAATGTAGGTATAGAATTATGCTGGATATGGGCATATATGCCTTGTAAATCCTGAGGTAAGCCCTTCAATGAGTGGCATGTACTAGTAACTATGCACTATGGTGTGAGTTTAAAGGTGACTATGTCATAATTAACTGGTAGTTTATATTGCCTGGTATGTAAGGGCGAATCCTGTATCGTAATATTAAGTTGACATGTACACTGTAACTATGGTATGTATTATAATAACTTGCACTATGCATAACCTTGTAACTATATCGTGATGTAAGTGCACGCCAAATGAAATTGACAGTGTACTATGATTAGCATTAAGTTAATTTTAGTTTGGTTATGAGTTAATTACTTGACAATTACACCTGTACAAGCGCATGGATGAATATATGAGGCATGCGGTCTAAGGTTATAATGCATTGTACATCTGTAACTATGGTCAATTGATGGTATTAATAATAATTACGTCATATATAGAGTATGTCCTTGATTGAGGGCTTCGTGAAGTAAGACACCCAATTATGCATGTACAATGTAACCTAGTGGGTTTATGTATAGTAGCGAGCCTTGTATGTTCGAGTAGCTGAGTGAAGGAAGGTCTAGTTTTTCTCAGTAAGAGTGTCGATCGATGGTGTGAGGGTTGGAAAGGCTAGTACTCCTATAGAGCGAAGGACGGTGTAAGCAAGACAGAGGTTCGAAAACAAGACGCGTTTTTTCTATGTGCTATTATGTTCGGTATAATTGTTAATGCAGCATTCATTAATAACGTCTACAAGTGCAAACATCTAATCTAGGATAGTGAGGAGTGCATTGATTAATTACAAGCGAGATAGGGTTTTATCTATATAAAACCAACAATTTCAAATTGGTTCTCTGATTGTGGTGCGTTCAAGTTTATTGGTGTAGGAAAGTGCGTTTGGTTTAAATTGCAATCTTTATGCATGGGTCCTATCCGTGAGTTAAATAAGGCTAAACGCTCCATTAGGATGTTTCCAACTTTGATATCATAATGATTAAGCGATAATGAATTTAAATGATTGATAATCCTAACCTGACGCGGGACGTCTATTTGACGCCGGTAGGTAAGTACTAATATGACTATGTAACCCAAACTAATATATGACCAATGACCATCATATGGCATATATGTTATTATGACCATTAATGACATTAAAGTTGGGAACACTCCTAATGGAGTATCACCCGTTATAGGCTGTGAAATATATGGCACACCAGCACCGTACAGTAGACATACGCATCCACCGCACACAGGTACGGGAAGCATGAAATTCAGATTTTTTTGCATCAGCCCTCACCATGATTTACCAGCCCTCACAAATTTTGTTAGCTGTTTGAACCCGATCATGAATGATGTCCGAAGTGTTTCACGCTTGCATTCTCGAATTCTAATTTGGCGTCATAAATTATGACGTGATATCCTTCAGGTAAAACAGTAATGTAGGCTATTTGCTCATTAATGCTATAAATAAAAATGTAGGTACTCGCTAGCACGGCTGAAACCACCGGCTCGGAGGGCCGGTGTTTTGCCAATGTTACTAGCCCTCCAAATAATTTGCCGGCATATGTCGGTGGGCTGGTGCTAATTCCGCACACAGGTACGGTTATTACCTGTAAATCTTCCAGGACTTTCCGAAGTCGGAAGACTTCTCGATGAACATGGCTGAAGGTCGGAACGACTTGAAGGTCATGATGAGATGCGTGAAGTGAAATTCCGCCTCCATGTCCAGACGAATGGACACGTTCGCAACGCCGTTCACAGACTGCCACCACGTCTTCTTGCGGCTGATCCAGCCTCCCGTGTTGACTACATTCTCAACCCTACGAGGGAATGGTGGTGTCAGTCAATAAAATTCACCATTACATGGCATACCATGGCACTGGCATGATACCTATTACCATTACATGGCATACCATGGCACTACATAGCATACTTATTACCATTACAATACATGGCATGATACCTATTACCATTACATGGTATACCATGGCACTACATGGTGCACCTACATGGCATACCATTACATACCATACATGGCATTTACAATCACAACTTGGTTATTAAATCACATCGTATCACACCATGAATTACGTCGCGTAACGTCGTGTCATATCAAACATCGAGTATTCAGTCACAGGAGCTTTCCGGCAACGTTTGTAGTTACCTGTAACTCTCATAGCTTACCTGTAAATCTCATAGCTTACCTGGGTCCTCGACAACAGTGATTGGATGTCATATTATTATTATTATTAAATCTTTATTGCTTGTAATTCAAATACAAATACGTGTACTGAAGACAGTCTTTTTCAGAGAGAAAAAATCTGATAGATGCAATCGTGTTGAATATGATAAATGAAAAAGTTCTTTTTAACCAAACAAGTTACGTTCCGTAACATACGGTGCGTTTAAATTCTTGTTTGGTTAAAAAGAACTTTTTTATTTAGTGGATTATAACAAACAGACAAACTTAATCAACGAGTGTTGAATATGATCTGGATATGTGGTATGCACCCTAACTCTACCTCTAACTCTAACGCTAGCGTGTTTGTTGGCACGACGCCGAACACAATGTGCGAAAGAACATGTTCATTCAGACTTCCTTGTCTGAGAAAAGCACGTGGCCTAAAAAAAGGCCCAGTCATTTACTCGACTGGACTGATTTTCTCTAGACGGCGCTGATTTTTTTAAACTGGTGAATCACGTAATAAAACGCTTTGTTACATTCATATGTATTATTACTATGCTTAATTATTCCCTACTATTTGGTATATGAATTCATAACAACCGATGTTCTTTCTCGATTCGACTTTCGTTTTAGATTCTCAGAATCTCAAAATTTGACGGGGCCTGAAAAAAAGCTCAATGGACACCGGAGATGGGGCTGTTTACGGGGCTTGGGCCGATCAGCCCGCCGTGAAAAGGCGAAGCTTGGTTCATTCCACATTCCATAGGTAATGTACAGGTGTTGTCACGCAGTACGTCTGCTCAGCCTGCCGCATTGCCTAGCGACGGCAGCTTACCTGTGACTCTTGTCGGTGCTTGTCACGCCATCTACGAACGGACGCGTCGAGTCGCACACGAAGCATTTCTTGCTCTCGTCCAAATGGCTGACGATGCAGTAGCGCTCCGGCCGATTAAAGCCGCACGTAGAGGTCGCCACCAGCCGATGCTGCCGGCCAATCAGCAGGTCTCCGGTTGCCGGGTAACAGCTGCTCTCCTCGCACGTGCTCTGCGCGAGGCAGCCTGCGGAGAGAGAGAGAGTTGGGTTGCCTTAGTGGAAAGACAAAGTCGACTGTGGCATATTGTAAACCAGTAAATAAGTAAATAAACCAGAGTCAAATGCTCCAAGTGCCTGTGCCGCAAGCGATCGGTCGATGTGTCACCGCATGTGCGCGATTTCGAAGCAATTCTAGAGCAATTTGGGAGCGCTTGAGAGCGACGAGTCGCTCAAAATCAAACAAGTTTGATTTCTTGCAACTCGTTGCAAGCGACCAGAATCACTACGGGTTGCAGTTGCACATTTCTGCAGACGTAGCGATTTCACTGCAATTTTTACAGCGATTCTAGAATCGCTGTCAAGTTGCATGTAACGGGATGTATATACAAGCACATATAGTTAGGCACGCGCATGTACGTAAGCGTCGAGAGTCTATCTAATCATGTACATGTACAGATAACAATACAATACAAATGTACTTTACAATAAATTTATTATAATATTAAATATTACTAGCAAATACCCGTGCTCCGCACAGAGTTAAATGTTTGGTCACAGACAAAGTCGACTGTGGCATATTGTAAACCGGTAAATATTTGCGGCTGGATTCCAAATTTCGCTAGCGCTAGCATGCACTAGCTATAACTTATAAGCACTCGAGTCATCAAACGGCAACTCGAGTCCTGTGCTTTGACTCGAGTCTCTGGCCACGACTCGAGTCAAGTCATAACGATCGTGTCATGACTCAACTCGAGTCATTTTCAGTGGTGACCTGAGTCGAGTCAAGTCATTTTGGGTTCCCGACTCGAGTCAAGTCAAGTCACCAGAAAATGCGACTCGAGTCCGAGACAGTGACTTGACTTGTTACAACACTGGTTACGGTTGCTGTGGTTACGGCTGGCTTCAGCGGACACGTGCATTAGCAGCACACTTAGGGTCAACGTCGTGATTTGGGAAAACGTACCACGCTGGCGCGCTCCACGTCGACGGCCGTCTGGCCCTCTAGCGGCAGGCAGCGGCTCGCGTGGCCGTAGCAGCTGCAGCTGCCGCGCACGACGACGTCGTAGATCGCGTAGTAGTACTTCTCCTTGATCTCCTCACGCTGGTCGAGGAGGTTGTCGCCGAGCGTGTGCAGCTCGGTGAAGTTGATGCGAAGGTTCGTCATCTTGAGAAGGTCCTGCACCTCGGGGCTGTACGGGTCGTCCGGGCTGATCGACGGCGGCAGAGCGATGTAGATCACCTGAAACACAGACACACTGATCACCTGTACATGGTGAGGGGGCGGGCAGTGAGGGGGCATGGGGCCGTGATGGGGGGGGGGCAGGAGGTCGTGAAGGTGTGGGGCAGCTGAGGGAGCGGGCATGAGGGGGCGGCTCGTGGGGGGGGCAGTGAGAGTGGGGCAGCTGAAGGGAGCGTGAGGGGGCGGGCAGTGGGCGGTGGGCAGTGAGGGGGTGGGATGCGAGGGGGCGGGCAGCGAGGGGCGGTGCATGAGGGGCGGGGGCCGTGAGGGGGCGGCGGGCCGTGAGAGGGCGGGCAGGAGGGGCTGTCCGGGTCGTCCGGTGCTGATCGACGGCTGGCACGCAAGCGATGAGATCATCTGAAACACAGACAACTGATCACCTGTACATGCGAGGGGGCGGGATCAGTGAGGGCGGGGGCCGTGAGGGGGCTGGGCCCGTGAGGGGCAGGAGGTCGTGAGGGGTTGGGCAGTGAGAGAGCGGGCAGTACGGGCAGTGAGGGGCGACGTGGCCGTGAGGGTGGCCGTGGGGGGGCAGTGAGAGGGTGGGCCTAGTGAAGGGGCGTGAGAGCGGGCAGTGAGGGGCTGTACGGCGCTCGTCGCGGCGCTGATCGACCGGCGGCCAGAGCGATTGTACATCCGACTCGAAACCACAGAACACCCTGATACCTGTACATGGTGAGGGGCGGTGCAGTGAGGGGGCGGGCCGTGATGCGGGCTGGGGGGCCGTGAGGGGCAGGAGGTCGTGAGGGTGGCAGTGCGAGGAGCGGCCGTGAGGGGCGGCAGTGGGGGGCGGGCCGTGAGGGGTGGGCCCCCGTGGGGTGGGCAGGAGAGGGTTGGGCAGTTGAGGGGCGTTGAAGGCGGGCATGAGGGCTGTAACGGGTCGTCGCGCTGATGACGGCAGGCAGAAGCGATGTAGATCACCTGAAGCCACAGACATCACTTGATCACGCCTGACATGGTGACATCAGGAGGGGGCCGGGCAGTGAAGGGGCGGGGGGACGTGAGGCGGCCAGTGAGGGGCGGGCAGTGAGAGGAGTGGGGAGAGTGAGGGGTGGGCAGTGAGGGGGTGCGGGCACTTGAGGGGGGGGCAGTGAGGGAGCGGGCAGTGAGGGAGCGGGCAGTGAGAGGGCGGCGTGACGGGGGTGGGCAGTGAAGAGTGGGCAGTGAGGGGGTGG